GCAACAGCTCTTAGCTTGTCAATAAAGTTAGGAATCCTTAACTTGTAAATAGCTTGTCAATAAAGCTAGGGATCCTTAACCTAACCTTGACAAACCTTGTGTAGAGAGAGAGAGAGAAAGTAGGGCTGACGCTGTAACTCAATATGACGCCATGTTAATAATGCTTCCTCAAGTCTTCCACAGGTTAGGTTGGGTAAAGTTTGTCAGGAAACAGGACAAGCGTTCCCTGACGCGGGTTTTATGTCGTATGATGACCCGCAGCTGGAGTTTTTGGTCAGTAGAACTTTGCTTTGAAGGTTCACCCCTGACCATCTCCCCCTTGACGGGGGGCGACAAAGCTGGCGAAGAGCTCCTGATGCGAGGAAGTAGAACCAACCTTGACTTCCTTGGATCAAACCAGATTCTCCCATTCTCAACTCTGTATGACCTACAAGGGTAGAGCAATTTCCCATAAATGCATGCATATATATATATATATAAAATATATATATATATATATATATATATATATATATATATATATATAATATATATATATATATATATATACCATCTTTTATACCATCCTTTTATACCATCTTTTAGGAGTGAAGAAGAGCAGAATGTAAGTGTGGGGGAGGTACGTGAGGCATTACGTAGAATGAAAGGGGGTAAAGCAGCTGGAACTGATGGGATCATGACAGAAATGTTAAAAGCAGGGGGGATATAGTGTTGGAGTGGTTGGTACTTTTGTTTAATAAATGTATGAAAGAGGGGAAGGTACCTAGGGATTGGCGGAGAGCATGTACAGTCCCTTTATATAAAGGGAAAGGGGACAAAAGAGATTGTAAAAATTATAGTGGAATAAGTTTATTGAGTATACCAGGAAAAGTGTACGGTAGGGTTATTATTGAAAGAATTAGAGGTAAGATAGAATGTAGGATTGCGGATGAGCAAGGAGGTTTCAGAGTGGGTAGGGGATGTGTAGATCAAGTGTTTACATTGAAGCATATATGTGAACAGTATTTAGATAAAGGTAGGGAAGTTTTTATGGCATTTATGGATTTAGAAAAGGCATATGATAGAGAGGATAGGGGAGCAATGTGGCAGATGTTGCAAGTATATGGAATAGGTGGTAAGTTACTAAATGCTGTAAAGAGTTTTTATGAGGATAGTGAGGCTCAGGTTAGGGTGTGTAGAAGAGAGGGAGAATACTTCCCGGTAAAAGTAGGTCTTAGACAGGGATGTGTAATGTCACCATGGTTGTTTAATATATTTATAGATGGGGTTGTAAAAGAAGTAAATGCTAGGGTGTTCGGGAGAGGGGTGGGATTAAATTATGGGGAATCAAATTCAAAATGGGAATTAACACAGTTACTTTTTGCTGATGATACTGTGCTTATGGGAGATTCTAAAGAAAAATTGCAAAGGTTAGTGGATGAGTTTGGGAATGTGTGTAAAGGTAGAAAGCTGAAAGTGAACATAGAAAAGAGTAAGGTGATGAGGGTATCAAATGATTTAGATAAAGAAAAATTGGATATCAAATTGGGGAGGAGGAGTATGGAAGAAGTGAATGTTTTCAGATACTTGGGAGTTGACGTGTCGGCGGATGGATTTATGAAGGATGAGGTTAATCATAGAACTGATGAGGGAAAAAAGGTGAGTGGTGCATTAAGGTATATGTGGAGTCAAAAAACGTTATCTATGGAGGCAAAGAAGGGAATGTATGAAAGTATAGTAGTACCAACACTCTTATATGGGTGTGAAGCTTGGGTGGTAAATGCAGCAGCGAGGAGACGGTTGGAGGCAGTGGAGATGTCCTATCTAAGGGCAATGTGTGGTGTAAATATTATGCAGAAAATTCGGAGTGTGGAAATTAGGAGGTGTGGAGTTAATAAAAGTATTAGTCAGAGGGCTGAAGAGGGGTTGTTGAGGTGGTTTGGTCATTTAGAGAGAATGGATCAAAGTAGAATGACATGGAAAGCATATAAATCTATAGGGGAAGGAAGGCGAGGTAGGGGTCGTCCTCGAAAGGGTTGGAGAGAGGGGGTAAAGGAGGTTTTGTGGGCAAGGGGCTTGGACTTCCAGCAAGCGTGCGTGAGCGTGTTAGGAGTGAATGGAGACGAATGATACTTGGGACCTGACGATCTGTTGGAGTGTGAGCAGGGTAATATTTAGTGAAGGGATTCAGGGAAACCGGTTATTTTCATATAGTCGGACTTGAGTCCTGGAAATGGGAAGTACAATGCCTGCACTTTGAAGGAGGGGTTTGGGATATTGGCAGTTTGGAGGGATATGTTGTGTATCTTTATACGTATATGCTTCTAAACTGTTGTATTCTGAGCACCTCTGCAAAAACAGTGATTGTGTGTGAGTGTGGTGAAAGTGTTGAGTGTTGAATGATGGTGAAAGCGTTTTCTTTTTGGGGATTTTCTTTCTTTTTTTGGGTCACCCTGCCTCAGTGGGAGACGGCCAACTTGTTGGGAGAAATATATATATATATATATATATATATATATATATATATATATATATAATATATATATATATATATATATATTATATATACATACACATTCTAGGTAGTAGGTTGGTAGACAGCAACCGCCTAGGGAGGTACTACCGTCCTGCCAAGTGAGTGTAAAATAAAAGCTTGTACTTGTTTTACATGATGGTAAAACTGGGGTTTCACTAGCACGTTAAGAGACCATACAATAAGTGTCAGGGGCCCGAGACTGTTCAACTGCCTCCCAGCATACATAAGGGGGATTACCAACAGACCCCTGGCAGTCTTCAAGCTGGCACTGGACAAGCACCTAAAGTCGCTTCCTGACCAGCCGGGCTGTGGCTCGTACGTTGGTTTGTGTGCAGCCAGCAGTAGCAGCCTGGTTGATCAGGCTCTGATCCACCAGTAGGCCTGGTCACAGACCGGGCCGCGGGGGCGCTGACCCCCGGAACTCTCTCCAGGTAAACTGCTGGTGTCTTTTCTGTGTCTCATAAACATGCAAGATTTCAGGTATATCTTGCTACTTCTACTTACATTTAGGTCACACTAGACATGCATGTATAAGCATATTTATACGCACCCCTCTGGGTTTTCTTCTATTTTCTTACTAGTTCTTGTTCTTGTGTATTTCCTCTTATCTCCATGGGGAAGTGGAACAGAATTCTTCCTCCGTAAGCCATGCGTGTTGTAAGAGGCGACTAAAATGCCAGGAGCAAGGGGCTAGTAACCCCTTCTCCTGTATAAATTACTAAATTTATAAAGAGAAACTTTCGTTTTTCTTTTTGAGCCACCCTGCCTCGGTGGGATACGGCCGGTTTGTTGAAAGAAGAATATATAATACTGTGAGCACCTCCGCCTGTACAAATAGACTACCAGCAGGGTGTACGTCACGAGTATCATCAATAATGCTCTCCACTGTGTATTGTACAATTACTTACAGTATTTGCAATTACTTGTTTGAGTGTATCAGAGGATGAGAGTAAGACACATGGTTGCTTTATTAAAGCCTACAGACTGCATGAGGGTTGTTAAGGATGCAGAGTGGGGAGAGTTCAAACTCTTGGGCCTGCCACTTAACCTTTGCACTGACTGACGTAAAATTCGGTGACTGGTACTTGTGTTAGCCCGTGTGGGTGTGCAGCCACATATATCATTCACTTTGAGCTCTTTAATTAAAACTTTCATTTTCCTCCGAACTGCCTGTCGTGCATTTCTGACTGATCTAAGTCTACCAAAATTTAACACTGTTATTCTCGATCAGCGTCATGTCTTGCAGCACAAGACATGATAGTTACAACGTTCGTTTTCTCAAGCACCAAAAAAGTTCAAGGATGGTTTATTTCACTACTTTTATTCATGCTAATTCTTCGCAACTCACACTTAAAAAAAAAAAATCTATATGGATATGCTGGATGTCGAGTGTTGATTAGTTTCTCACTGTTCTAGCTCCCGGTCTGAAAGTGTTAGCTACACTATACCTCAGAACTCTTTGTCATGTCGTATCATATCACCTAGAAATCTAGGCAGTGCAGCTCCACTTCAGGTGTGTGGTAGAATGTGCTCTCACAATAACAACGACCAGACTTTATCAAACTCATCATCATTTGTTAACACTTAACCAACTCACGATTATGCGTTTCAAAATGTGCGGTACATTCCTACACAACGATTAATATCTTAGTTCCAGCGTCACGCTGCTGCACTGGAGGAACTGTGGTCTGGAACTCATTTACTACATAATAACCCGAGTCCACACAATGTGACAGATGTAGCTACATATGCAGCCACAGATGAAGCTACCTCACGTCTTAAAAAATATTATTTTTCCCTTCTAGACAATGATGCATTGTCTTGCTGTGCCTCACTGCTGTACATTTCGCCAATGTACTCGTAAGTTACTTATAAGTGCACACAGACGTGAGTGAAAGTTTAGTAATTGTGGTTGGTTTAAGAGAACGTGATGTAAATAAATCCACTCTCACATGATTAGAGTGCAGCGTCTTGTGTGTACTCGGAGGCTTTACCTATGTGTTGAGGCCCATGACTGCACCTGAGAGCTCCATGAACACAACTAACTTCTGCTTGACCAACAATCACACACCTACCTCCCCCAGCCTAGTCAACTAACCAACACTCGTACCAGGCATGAAACCAGGAGTGTTCTACACCTGAAACCGGTATATCCTTATTTTAAGTTCTCTCACAGTCAGGAAAATTAACTCACGATACTCTCAGCTGTATAAAATAAGCGAGTGGTGCAGAGTTACTATTGCTAATTAAAGGAATGTATGGTATGGAAGTGGCTCCAATCACCACTACCAATCATAATGATGTATAAGATCTCCCATTACAACTACCAATCATGAGGATGGATAAGCCCAAGATCTCCCCTTACCACTTTTATTAATCAAGTTAATGGAGGTAAGGGGTGGTGAGCATCACCTGCCCACAATACACAACTGGTGTACCAATCTTTGTTTAATAAAAATAGCACATTGAGAGTAAGACAACTTACCTTTGATGGCAGTGGTGAAGCATCCTGTGAAGGGCGTGGTGAACCAACAGGACGATAGCATCCTGGTGGTTCCTGGGGGATCCTACCAGACCGCGCCCCGCACGAGTACCTCAGTAAGGCGGTATAGGAGGCTTGGCGGAGGCTCGAGGGGGGAGGGGGGGACGGAGAGGTTGTGGTGGTGTGCGTGATGGTGGTGTTGAGGTTGGTGGTGGTGGTGGCGGTGGTGTTAGGGGGTGGCGGAAGTAGCACTGGTGGCGGTATAGTCGATAACTTTGTTGAGCCGTCTCGCTGCTAGAGCATTGTGGGCGCGGCCTCCCTGCCACTTACGGCCTTTTCCAGATTTCACTTTCTCTATCGCTATGTCAACGCTTTTATATATGTATATGCCTGTCTCCTTGCTAGTTCTTCAGTACTCTACAAAAAACACGAGCGGATTAAGAACTCATCTCAGAAGCGCCCATGAACGAAAACAAATACCGGAAGACTAAGACCCAAGAAGCGTCCGTTCATCCGCGACCACAACCTCTTCTCTAAACGTTTCAGAATTAAATAAGCACCGCTCACTCGCCTGTCACTTGGAACATGACTTTTCTCTCTTCAACGTAATGTCTCGCTGCATAAACTTTTAACCGCCTTCAGAGGATTCCGGAAGTGTTATATTCGCTGGCTTGATGGTGAACATTATATGATTTTTTCAATATTTTTTCCTCGTTCAGATAGTGCATAAACTCAGAAAGCACACAGTTAAGTCATGCTCATTAACAAGACACGCGCAAGCACGCACGAACACCACAAAGCTGGGGGAGGGGGTGCGAGGGACCACCTAGGGCAGAATAACAGCCACACACAGCTAAAGAGGGAGTGTCATAGCTAGAGACCTGGATACCACTAATAACATAGTTAATAACAAGTGATCAACACACTTAAGATTTTGCAACAGCGACCCTTTCATTATATCAAGTTTCGCCCTAGACACTACTTGTATAAAGTCTATGATAGACCTGATACAACCATAATTAGAGCGAAACGTGAAAAAAAGGTTCTTCTATTAGAGATGTTTCACCTGCCTACGACAAAAGCTCGTACGCATTTAGTGAGTAACTGAAAAAATCACATGGTCCTAATACACATGTAAGGGTAGAGATATCACGAACCCATAAAGATAAATTCCGCCTAGGAACTACAAACCTACTAGAGATCTAGCACAGAATAAGCAAGAGTGGTCGGTATGTTGATTGGCTGCACAATTCTATACTACAGGAAAAGCCTTTTATATATACACAAATAACCCGCACATAGAAGAGAGGAGCTTACGACGACGTTTCGGTCCTGCTTGGACCATTTACAAAGTCACACTAACCAGAAGTGTAGCAAGACGGCTATATATAGGCAGGAAGAGGTAATGGTGGTAGTAGTGGTAAGATAAGATTTTGTTCGGATTTTTAACCCCGGAGGGTTAGCCACCCAGGATAACCCAAGAAAGTCAGTGCGTCATCGAGGACTGTCTAACTTATTTCCATTGGGGTCCTTAATCTTGTCCCCCAGGATGCGACCCACACCAGTCGACTAACACCCAGGTACCTATTTGCTGCTAGGTGAACAGGACAATAGGTGTAAGGAAACGTGTCGGAATTTCCACCCACCGGGAATCGAACCCGGGCCCTCCGTGTGTGAAGCGGGAGCTTTAGCCACCAGACCACCGGGCCAGTAGTAGTAGTAGTAGTAGTAGTAGTAGTAGTAGTAGTAGTAGTAGTAGTAGTAGTAGTAGTAGTAGTAGTAGTAGTAGTAGTAGTAGTAGTAGCAGCAGTGGTGGTAGTAGTAGGGAATTAAGGATGAGGAGCCAGTCAAATACAAAGAAAGGGGAGCACTGCAAGGGAGCTAGGTGCCCACAAGGGAGCTAGGTGCCCACAAGGGAGCTAGGTGCCCACAAGGGAGCTAGGTGCCCACAGAGGGAGAGCAAGTACACAGAGGTGGGGGGAAGGGGAAGTGATGAAATAAATAATGAAGGAACAGAAACACGCGACAGAAGAAAAGAAGACAAAAAAAAGGAAAGAGGAAACTGAAACAAAACTTGTTTACAAACTAGGGTTAAAACTAGCCACTTTGGTGGATCACTAAAAAAAATATAAAAACTGAATTCAGTTGCCGAAGCTACTACTACACACCCCATGAGTGTTTAATATCTAACGACACAATCTGTATAAGTGACAGTGGGAAGACGCATTAGCTTAGGCAAGCATAACCAGCAAAATCCAAGGATCTTGACTTTGATTTTATATAAATATGCACAGACGGTGTCTACTGGCAGTCAACTTCAAGAAGTGTAATTCAAATCTCTGGATACTACAGCTTAGTGGTCCATTTTTTTATATAAGGGAAAGAAATCCTAACTTCACGTGCTATGTAATTTTTATTTTTTATGAAGAAGAATTAGACATGTGCAATATTTGAGTATCTTTGTCTTGAATGATTCGCCGGTAGGTGTCCCTGTCGTGGGGGTTCGAAAGGAGATATGATGGTTGAAGATAAACACACGTGTGGATGGTAACACTATACATTGTCAGACTGTGGTAAGGGAGGCCCAGCCTGCCGTGTTGCTGCCTGGTAGGTCTAAGCGTGGACTGAGAGTGAGGTAGCGCATCCCACTCACTCATGCCGCATCCCGTGACATCATACAGTCACTAGGCCTAATAGGGATCGTCTATATAAAACACATGGATGGTACTATGATACTCAGCTAAGCTATACAACACATGTAAGGGGGATCAGCAACTATGCTGACATCCCGGCCCAGGTCTTTTCCAGATATTGTAAAACATACATCTACAACTTTATCTTTACCTTTTACTGGGTGGACCAATAAGCCAGCGGAAGACCTCTGTCAAGTGAACAAAGGTTCCACTGAGCGATTCATCACATAAGACTCCCGTCAGGAGAAATTTTCAGATTTCTCCTGACAAATAACACGACAATCTCAGAGGAAGCACTCATCCACCACCACAACCTCTGATGCGTAGAGAAGCTGGCAGACCTAAAGATCGCCTTCACGGAGTCTAAACAACGAGTAATTCAGGACACTATTCATGTCCGGCCAGGATACGAAGTACCATCACGGACCGCATCTGATGAAACACAAACCTGAGAAAGAAAAGTGTCAAGCAGCAATATTAGTCCCACAGCTTAGGGACAAGAGAGAGACGAAAGGATGTAGATGTAATGACCCTCGAAGAGCCATGAGCCATAGGACACGTGACAACACGAACAAAATACAGGCGAGGCATTGACAGGGCGATGATGATGATGGTGTTTCACATCCGTGAGGGGGAGATGGATGAAGGCTGGACACAAATGAGACACAAGCTTGACAGTAAATACCAGTTTAGCTCCAGGGTGGTAGAAAAGTTGAAGGAACCAGATAAAGAAGTCATGGAAGGTAATAAAAATACATTTTAAAGAATGGAGCTAGGTGGAGGTAGGTAGACGTGTGTGAGAGAGAGATGAGAGAGAGACTAGTATGGGAAGAGAAAAAAAATCAGCGAAGAGGTAAGACGACAAAGGGGTAAATAAGGAAGAGAAATGTGAAGACAAATAAATTGGAGGAGGAGGAAGAAGAGACTAAGGGTGGGGGGAGAGGGCGGAGGAATATAAAGATTAAGAAAAAAAAGTTGAAAAATGAAGAGAATTAGAGAAGGCGAGAACTTCCCTTCCCAGGGTTAAAAGTTAAAGCCGACCCTTCATGTCCTCGTTAGGACTCTACCCGCCTGGACACTCGTTTAAGTTCAGGCATACCAGCTCGTTACCACTAAGATCTTCCCCACCCCAATACACTTTTGTCATGCAGACTAACTACCCGCTCGTTACCACTCACCAACGCTTGACCTCTTCTCGTCTCTGCTACAGCACAAATCTGAGTTATGGAGCAGGATACGATCTTCCCTCCACACACACACACAAACTATTCGTAAAACTACCTGCCTTCATAACTAAGTGCACACTTCAATAAAAACCTACCTCCATAACCTTACCTAACTGCCCTCATCTACATTTCATTCTACCTATCTTTGACGATTCTTACTAAAGGTCTATGAGACCTTGACGAGTCTTTCTAATGAAATCTAATTATATATATATATATATATATATATATATATATATATATATATATATATATATATATATAATGTATATATATATATGCATTATATATATAAGTGCAATAGTTACTACGCCATCACCAGTAAAATCATCTGAGCGTCACTTAAGTCACACTGCTCTATAAACAAGACCATGCAAAGGTCATAAAGTTAGCGTAGAAGGCACTAAGGTCACAGGTCATCCCAGAAGACACTTGTCACTGTGGACACTACCAATATGTTAAGGTCAGGGGTCACCTCAGTAAGCAGTGTACCACTGTTAAGACTGCCAACTTTAACTTAAGGTTACAGGTCATATCTTACCACCGAGGCTCTACTGACACCCCTTATTTTACACTTCTTGCCAGTTTTGAAAATCAAATTTCAATCTATTTTGGATTTAGCTCTCGGCTTATATCCCGATGTCTCTGTCTCTGACTGACTCTGACTCTGACTCTGACTCTGACTCTGACTCTGACTCACTATCTATCTATCTCTCTCTCTCTCTATCTATCTCTCTCTCTCTCTCTCTCTCTCTCTCTCTCTCTCTCTCTCTCTCTCTTTCACAGCTTAACATTGACATTGAGGGGGACATTGATCCCAACACCTGTACTGCTTGTTGTGTCTGCTGCCTCACCTTTAAGGCAGTAGCCTCCCTGCTTTGCATCAGTATATTATATAACGTTGTGGTTACAAAGCAGACGGTTGCTGCCTTAAAGGTGAGACAGCAGACACAACAAGCAATACAGAAGTTGAGATCAATGTCCCCCCTCAAAATGCAGCTAAGAAATATAGTTTTTTCCCTTCTGAACGAGAGATAATAACTCGTACTATGGTTATGAATAGTCTGACTCCTCGTACTACAGCTCAGAAATAGTTTGGCTCCTCGTACTTCAGCTCAGGAATAGTTTGGCTCCTCGTACTACAGCTCAGGAATAGTTTGGCTCCTCGTACTACAGCTCAGGAATAGTTTGGCTCTTCGTACTGCAGCTCAGAAATAGTTTGGCTCTTCGTACTGCAGTTCAGGAATAGTTTGGCTCCTCGTACTACAGCTCAAGAATGGTCTGGCTCCTCGTACTACAGCTCAGGAATAGTCTGGCTCCTCGTACTACAGCTCAAGAATGATCTGGCTCCTCGTACTACAGCTCAGGAATAGTCTGGCTCCTCTGCGCCACCTGTGGAAGTGACAGGCTGCTATATTAAACGTTCCAAGTTCAGCCTACGGGTGACAGCGCGTTCAACACTTGTCGTTTTTCTCATTAAAAATGCGTTGCCGTGTAC